CTCTCTAGGAGGAGGGGCAGAAAGAATGAGAGGGGTCCAAAAGAGTTCCTTGGGGTTTTCCCTCGCCCAATTCGAACTGCCGGATTTGTTGCAGGTGCTCATGTTGCTCGGTACCTTAACAACATGTGCTCAAGTATCTAGTATCTCATCGGTGACAAATCTAAGTAAATAGGTTGATTGCCCATTTTCGACACATGAACGAATATCCATAGTTAATTCCTGAAGTATTAACTGTTACAGAATGTCAATAATCAGGCTTTGATGATCTTCTTTGCACTTCACCGGTACTTAGTTAACCGCTAGCGTTTCTCATTGCCGAATGTAATGCAGGTACTCTTGCTGCTTCAGTCTCTCAGACTAGTGCTCAGAGCACTAGAATCGCATTACTGATAAATGCAAGTAAATTAGTTGAATACCACTAGTTGTTTGCATAACTATACGAAACTCCATTTGCTTAATTGATCCCTGATCCTGTTGTCATAGAACAAAAAATATATATTCAAGTGCCTGCTTGCATTGTTAATATAATATGTGATGTCTGTATTTCGATTTCATTTGTTCAGTTATAGAGGTGGCCTTGCTACCTTTACCTGTCCTTTTGGCACTTGTTTCCTATGGAAATATAGCTTCTGGATATTGTGGAAGATATGCCTTTTCCGAGTCTACATTTGTTATTTACTTCTTTGTTCCTTATTTCTTGCATATGGTGTATCCAGGATAGTTTCAGGACTACATTTGCATTGTGGAGGGTAACTGTTGTTTGCACTGAATAACATACTGAATGTGCTCACTCTTACAGTAAAAGTGTTCCTAAAAACTCTTGTTTCTCATGACAAACTAATGAAAGTCGGACTCTTTCTTTGAATCTTCCACAAGCCACTGCCATCACCTTTTGTCCTTGAAATGATCATTGTTAAGAAAGCATCGGTCATACATAATATTTCAGTCAAGTTCCTTGAAAATATTATCTATTGGGCACACACAAGTAACATTTGAGTCCAGAAGTTTCCGGTCTTGGAAAGTATTGGTGGACGGAAGCATGCCTTAATATACTTGCTAGGTTGAAACCAGCATCAAACATGAACACAAGTTATGGCGATTTCTTAAGATGCTTGGCACAAGTTATATTGCCCAACATAAGATGCTTGTGAATAAAATGGCTAAAGTTTATTTATTTTTCTGATGAATATCCAACTAGTTAAGCTTAGCAGTGTATATATGTAGCGTTGGGTGCACTTGGTAAAGGGGAAGGAAGGAGGCATTGCTTTTTTTACATGAAGTTTATGAATGAATCATCCATGATCCTGTACTAAGAAGAGGTGATGTAGTTAATTGTTGATGTGCAGGCACCTGAAACTTGGGGAGGGTCGGTATTCACAGCCAGCAGGGCATGCATGAAGCTAGTCTAGTCGATGGGATTGGAGGTGTTTCCTTGTTGACTTGCTGGTTGAAGACACAAGATAGAGGCTTTTAACTTGATGTTGTTACTGATGCATGGTTGGGTTCATGTAATGGGGCATCACTTTGCTTATAGACAGTGATGAGTTATGACCAAATATTAGCCGCAAATAAATGTATGCGTGTAATGTATTAAATATAATGTGGTGGTGATGCTAGCTGGAGGAAGTTGCTTTTGTTGTTGCTATTGATGGCATGCATGCATGTAATGTACGTACTATGATAAGTATAATTAATTTATGTTTTCGTAATTAGACATGTTATTTCTTTCTTTGGGGTTCAATTGAACCATTATTTCTCATGGCAACAAGACTTATTCTATACTTGGATATTTAGATTTGATGATCAAGAAATGTATGGCGCGCTGACTGACGGGTCGGTGGATTTGGATGGGAAGAAAGGTTAATTAGATTTGATACATACATACATACATACTAGTGTATGTATCACTTGGCTGTTGTCTAGATATACTTTCTATACATATACCCGTTCTGGTTTCTCTTGAGCCATGGTAATTATTAACAGTATATGTTATTTATATTGGCAAAGCAGTCACACTACTGCAAACGAGAAAGCGCCTTTGTTTTGTGAAGAGTGGAAAACAACTATTCGGCAAAAAAGGGTTGGATTTCATGTAGTCCATGGGCCGGTGGGCGGCGGCCCAGGAGGGTTGGCCGGGCCGGCACTGTGGTGTAGAATAAACCCCGCACAGCCCACCACCACGATGCCACTCCAATTCTTCGTCCTCCTCCGCTTCTCCAATGCCTATAGGACAGTACAACACAACGTAGTGCCGCAACACCAGGTTGCTTCTTGGCCGGTTCCCCCACCGGCGCCTTCCCTCCCCCTACCTCATAAGTAACCCCTGCGTCCGTCCTTCCTGCAGCAGCAGAGCCTCGTCATGGATGTGGCTGCGCCGGCCTATGACGTCAGAGGGAGCAAGGGTGCCGACGAGGATGATGACGCCACCGATAAAAGGTAACATCTTTTCAACTTCTTGTGACTCCTTCAAGCTCCTCCAGGCCGTCGGTGGCAGATCGGGAAGGGTTATAGCCCCACGATGACGCCGCTTGATTGCTTACTTGCGTTGGTCATGGCATCGTCGTTGCCCCGTCCCGGCAACCACCCGACACAGAGTGCGGGATGCACGTCCCTAACACACAGCTTGCCACGCGCACAATCCTGATCGATCATGCTC